ACCGGCGGGGCGGAGGGTGCTGATTGGTGGAGGGAGGGGAGGGGCGTGGCCTGTGGAGGGAAGGGGCGGCGCATGCGCGGAGCGAACGCATCGGTTTAAACCCTCGCTAGACCCGCAGAGTGGTTCGGGAGGGAAGGAATTTAAAAATGACCCAGCGTCACCCCCCGCCCCGGGCAGGGCCACCTTCCCCCAGCCCAGGGTGCCCAAAGCCCCGTCCAACCTGGCCTTGAGCCCTGCCAGGGAGGGGGCAGCCACAGCTGCTCTGGGCAGCCTGGGCCAGGGCCTCACCCCCCTCACAGGGGAGAATTTCTGCCCTAGATCTGGTCTAAACCTCCCCTCTCTCAGTTTAAACGCCTGCCTTAGTTCCTTTCCCTAGGTCAGGCCCACCCCGCCATGGCGTTTGCCCGCTCGCACACGGGCGCTGCTCTGCCCGCCCTGGCTGGTGCCCGCATCCCCGATCTATGGCCGCAGCCGGAGGGAACAGCCGGGGCTCCCCGCACCCCCAGAGAGCAGCCGTGGGGTACAGGAGTTACAGTCAGGCCTGGCGGAGCTGAACTGTGTCGTGGCGTTGGCACGACAGCCTGGCCTCTAAATTCCACAAGTTTCCCTTGAAGTTCACAATTAGGATGAAGTTGTGTCTTCCCTGCGCCTGCGAGGACTTGACCCGCAGCCCCGGAGAGCATCTGCAGCGCTAGGGACACGAGCACAGGGACGGCCGCCCTCAGCGTGCCGCTGTCCTTCGTGCAGGCGCCAGTTTTCACATCCACGGCGTCTCCTGGGACGTGCTTTCTCATCCGTGTGCATCTTTTTTTGGGTTTGAGTTGGCTCCGTGTCCTGCGTGGGGGAGCTCAGAAGCAGGGTGAGACCTTCCCTCCAGGTCCCTGCCTGGGGTGGGGGTTACACCCCAACACCTCTTGTACTATTCTGGGTGTTAGGCCCAGAGGAGGCAAATAAGGCAGCAGAGTCTTAAAACACATTCTCTGTGTGTAGTAAACTGCGAGTTTCTCTTCCAGCCTTGCTGTGCCGGAAAGGTAAGGCGGCCTGTGGAGAAACTCCAAATTCTGGAGGCAGCTTCAGCAGCTCTGGCCTCTGTCTCAGAGGTTATTGGGGTGCAGGCAACGTTGGTGCCCGGCTGCAGGGCTCCCACATCACCCCCCTACAGTGTTTCAGGGCGCGTGGGGCGGCCCCAGCACCGCGCAGCAGCGCAGTCCCCGTCCCCGCTCCCGACGTCCGCTGCAAGGAGAGGAGAGCAGCAGCTCCGGAGTTTCTGACAGCTGCAAGGAGCGACCTGCTCCCTCTCTCCACTTTGTCTTCTGCTAGGCCGCGCTGTAATTTCCCGGTGAGTCACAGGCGTTGCAGCCTGTTCTAACACTTGTAAGAAATCCCTTTCCTGAGCGCAGACTGGAGCCCGTAACAGCCCGACGTTGAGCTCTCCTGACTTTCTGCACCGGCGGCGGGGACGGTGACATTTCAGGGGAGGTGGCTGGCCAGCTCTTGCCCCACAGCCTGGGCACGCTGGCCTCAGGCACCTTTGTCGGTGGAGTTGTGGTGCAAACGCCTCCCAGTGCCCCCCCCTTAACTATCCCTGGTGGGGGGAGCGGCTGGGCTCTTCCCCACGGCCGCTATGGTGAAGCAACGCTTCACGTCGGCCAGAGCCGTAAGACCGCTCTGCAGCTGGGCCCTCAAGCTTGATTTTCTGATGCTGGCTTAGCTGATCCGTGGTTGTGTGAGCCCAGCGGAGGAGCCCTGCACCCCCAGCACCCCCCCTCCCCGGGCCAGCTGGCTGCCAGGGAGCGGGCAGCCCCTCGCCAGCCCCTCCACAGGGCTTCCTAGTGCAGGGTTGAACTTGGGGTTTTCTCCGGGAACTTACTTCTGCTGCCATATGGCCTGTCTCAGCCTGGGAGACCTCCGGGGAGGATTTCTTCTAATGGGAGCTGTGTCAAAGATCACGCTTTCTCAGCTGTCACACCTAAAAGCCTCCATCCTCCCGTGGCGAGTGCCAAAACACTTGCCCAACCCGGGCTGTGAGCTGGCAGGGCCCCACTGGTTCCAGCAGACCGAGGTTGCAGACGGGACCCTTGGTGGTCCCTGGCGGAGGTTTTGGCAGCCTGTGATTTAGAGGTTTGCTTGTGTTGGCGTTTTCCTTCGGCTCGCAAAGAGCAGGCGCCGTTTCCCAAGGCGGCGTTTGCTGGAGCGTGGCACGGCAGCGAGCGAGGCAGAGCGGCGTTCGGTAGGCTGCTCGCAGAATCACTCGAATTAGCCACTTCGAAAACAAAACCGGGATACGAAACTGGTTTGCATGGCAGAATATAGAGCATGATTTAAGTAGCCCCTCGGTTGTGTTGACTACAGCAAGGAAAGCTTCCAAAAGTTTGCATCTGTTCCCTCGGCTCAGCTCTCACTGCCCATTGTCCTGCCACCGCAGCCCTGATGAGATACGACACGACTTAACGAAGCCCACGGCAGTGGGGGAAAGGGAAAAAAAGGCCTCTTTTGCATCAGGTAGAGGGGTGGCAGATGGCAGGACCACAGCAAAACAGGTGGAAGCATTGTGTGGCGACCCTCCGAATTAAGTGCGGTTAATTTGCTGTATCTCTATTAGCAACTAAAATCTCCGGCTTGACTGTGAGATCTCTGATTGTATCTCGCAGGCGGTCTGGCCGCGCAGCCCCATCTGTGGCCGGCCACAGAGCTAAATCTGTCTTGAAGGCAACTGAAAAGCAGCTGAAGCCTCTTTTCTCTCTCCTCAATAGCAGCAGCTCCCTGACCCGTGCTGGTCGCGATGGCAGGCGATGCCCTAAAACTGCATTTTCCCTGCAGGTTTCCTGGCTGGGGGCAGTTTTCCTTCCCTCCCTTTGCCCAGAGAAGCAGTGAGGATGCCCGGGAGGCACACAGGTCCCTCCTGCTTTGCAGCGAGAGGAGAGAAAGTGGCTGTGCTGGGGGTGCACTGTGGCTGCCGTGCTGGGGGTGCACTGTGGCTGCCATCCTGGGGAGCCGGGATGGAGCTGGACCTGCAGTTGTCCCTCCGCCGGCTCCCGGCTAGCAGCTGCCGCTGAACCTTCCTTTCATCGCCTGCCAAAAAGCATCCGGGGTGGTTTGCTCCCCTCCCTCCCCTTTAATCCTGACTTTCATAATTCTCCACGTTCAGCATCACAGAGACAGGGGGCCCAGGAGCTGTGTCAGGCTTGGCTGGGGGGGCTCGGCTCTTTGCCCCACGCTGGCAGGCTCTCGGCTCCAGATGTTCTCCGGCGCCATGGGTTTTAGCTGTTTGGATTAAATCCCTGGGTTAACACGCAGGGATTTAGGAGATGCCCACTCGAGTCCTGCCTGCGCCTGGGTGGGAGCTGCTGCCACGGGAAGAGGTTCTGGGCCAGCCAGAGACGTGTTTCCTGCACATAACAGCACCGAGTTGTTTAAGTTTTTAGGAGTGAGACAAAACATCAAACAGTGCCGAAGGGGCCAGCCAAGCGCCTTCCTGGGGGGCTACCCACTGGGTGGTCCTGGCTGCTCCTGCCCTGGGAGCCCACAGCGCAGCGCCAGGGGCCGTTCAGCTCCCGTCCCGCTCAGCCCCGTGCCGCCCCCGTGCTGGTGTGGCCCCATTCCCATTTCCAGCCACGTCCCCATCCTCTCCTTCTGCCTTGCTGCTCTCCCACGTGGGACCTTGCGCCAGCTCCGCTGACCCCCTCCATCCCGTTGCTACGTGCAGGTTGCTCAGTGTTGCAGAAACACCCTGCCTGCACGGCCGAGCAGCCCGGCACCCGGCGTTTGCACTCCCCGTTAAATCCGCTGGATAACGAGGGCAGCGATCGCCTTTGCAAAGCAAATGCCAGCTTGCACATTCCCCAGGGCGGCCTCTGGTCCAACAGCCACTTCATTTTCCCAGCGGCGCCCAGCGTTGCTGAGCTGAGCCCAGTGCCCCGGCCGGTCCCACTGTTTGCAGCGGGTGCAGGCACCAGCACCCACGTTCACCTTCCCAGGCCGGGAAATTTCACATCTTTGCTGGGGACATGGCAGTGGGATTGAGGCACCCTCAGCAAGTTCCCCACCGACACCGACCTGTGTGGTGTGAGGGAGGGGAGGGAGGGAGGGAAGGATCCATCCAGAGGGGCCTGGGCAGGCTGGAGAGGGGGGACGGGCAAACCCCATGGAGTTCAACAGGGCCAAGGGCAAGGTCCTGCCCATGGGTCGGGGCAAGCCCAGGCACAAACCCAGGCTGGGCGAGGAGGGGATGGAGAGCAGCCCCCAGGAGAGGGACTTGGGGGGGCTGGGGGCAGAAAACTGACCGTGAGCCACCAACGTGCGCTGGCAGCCCAGAAAGGCAACGGTGTGCTGGGCTGCACCCAGAGCAGGGTGGGCACAGGGCCAGGGGGGGATTCTCCCCCTCTGCTCCGCTCTGGGAGACCCCCCTGCAGGGCTGGGTCCAGCTCTGGGGCACCAACAGCAGAAGGACACGGACCTGCTCCAGCGGGGCCAGAGGAGGCCACGGAGATGCTGGGGGGCTGGAGCACCCCTGTGAGGACAGGCTGAGAGTTGGGGGGTTCAGCTGGAGGAGAGAAGGCTCCGGGGAGACCTTAGAGCGGCCCCCCAGGGCTGAAAGGGGCTGTGGGAAAGGGAGGGGACGACACACTCTGGATCAGGGGCAGAGGGACAGGACGAGGGGTCACAGCTTTAAACTGACAGAGGGGAGATTTAGATGAATCTAAGGCAGAAATTCTCCCCTGTGAGGGGGGTGAGGCCCTGGCCCAGGCTGCCCAGAGAAGCTGTGGCTGCCCCCTCCCTGGCAGGGCTCAAGGCCAGGCTGGACGGGGCTTTGGGCAACCTGGGCTGGGGGAAGGTGGCCCTGCCCGGGGCAGGGGGTGGGACTAGGTGATCTTTAGGACAAGGCCTGCACCCCACGCAGGGCTGAGCCTGGCTGTGGCAGGGTTAGAGTCTCTAAAGGCACTAAAATCACTAAAAAAAGGAAACTCAGCAATCAGAGTTTGGGGAAGGGCAGGCAGGCACACCTCCCGATGTGGGCACAGGGGCTGCCCTGAGGGGGGTGAGAGCCCTGTGTATATGAGACAAGAAAATCTTTTTTTCCCCCTGTTTTCTTTGACGGAATTTCTCCATCCACGATGGAAATAAAAGCGGGGTTCAGCTGAAGCAATCCCTGCTGCCATTCAGGGTTTGACTCTGGCCGGCGCCGAGCAGCCGGGAAACGTGGCCCCGTCTGGGCTTGGCTCCGGCGCCGGGCGCCGTGCCAGCGGCTTTCCTAACCAACCCCCGGCTTGGTGGCACTTTGCCGGTGGCACGGAGAGGGAACGGGACATTCTGGGCAGAGGCCTTTGCCTTTCCCAGCAGATGTGAAGAGCAGCCTGGCCCAAACAAGAGCCGTGCCCCCTCCCCGTGGCTGTGCAGGAGGGTTGTGTAGATGTAGGGGATGAGGGCCAACTGGCCCAAAATCCCAAGTCCTGGAGGAAAAGGGGTGTTGGGGATTTGATATTACGGCAGCTGGTCTGGTACGGGGTGTTTCATGCAGCGCCACGGGGAGCAGATGATCGCACCCCCGGCTTTCATCGGTGGAGGTGGAAACCACGAGTGAGGGGAGAGAGAGAGGACAGCAGGGGAGGGGCTGGGGGCAAACACTGGCTGTCCCCCTGCCACCCCATCGCACGCATGACAGGAGAAAACTTGGGGCACAAGACCCCACGTTCAGGATAATGCCTGTCAGCTGCTCTTTGCACAGCAGGACTCCTGAGCTGGGGGTTCCCTCTGCCAAAGGTGGGGTGCAGGGCGCTGGGGGCACAGGGGAGTCCAGGGGATCTGGGCTGTGTTTATCCCGCCCCATTTTGCCAGCACTCAGCACATTCCTGCTGCGCTCTGTGGTGCCGAAGCATCGCTGAAAGGGATTTGGGTCTCCCGGGCCGCGGCACGCTGGGGTTTGGCAGCAGGCCGCCGTGCTGCGGGTGTGCGCAAAATAAGGGACCCGCTTCCCATCAGCAGATGGGGGCAAAAGCCCCTGCAGCCACCGGCTCTTGCTGTGCCCCTTGCTGAGAAAATGAGTTTTGGGGCTGCACAGGGAACGGCGAGTGGGCCAGGGGCTGTGTTTGGTTTTGCTTGGAGTGCTGCAGTAAAATAAAGAAGCCCCTTTGGCTGGAGCTGCAGGAAAGGCTGCACGGGGCTGGGAGAGGCGTGCAGGCAGCCGGCGACCCCAAAACCCAGGGTGGTGCTGCCGGCCGTGCCCTGCGAGCTGGGGGGGGGGATTTTACTCATCTGGGCCTAAATTTTCATGGCAGGGGCCCAGGGATTTTGGGAGAGCAGGAAACCTGCAAACGGGGAACACGAGTGGGAGCCCTGGGAGTGCTTCACCCTTGTTCCACCACCCCAGGTAGCTGCTTGAAAATCTGTTCCTTCCTCAGCAGAAGTCCAGCAGAACTACTGGCTGCAGGCAGTCGAGGCTGGACTATGGTTGGACTAGATGATCTTCAAGGTTTTTTCCAACCAAGATGATTCTGTGTGATTCTGTCAGGCTCAAGCAGCTCCTGGTACCTGTTGATGGAGCAGAAACTGGCGCTGCTCCCTGAACCGTACCAGGGCGGGCGGCTGCTGCTCCCAGCAGCGATGTTCCCTCTGCCCACGCCTGCCCCGGCCATCCCTGGCCCTGGATGCCTCCCTACATCCCTTCTCTTCGGATGAGGAAAGCGTTTTTCCCACCCTGTGCTCGTCCACCTTCACGGATGCCCCCATGACCCACGTCTGTGCCGGCACCTCGGGCGCTTGCGTGCGCCCTCCCGCCTCGCCCCGAGCCGAAGCCGGGGCAAAGTCCAGGAGCCCAGACACCCCCTCGCCGCCCACAGCGCCGCTCCCCAGATAAACCTGCAGTAAAAGGCAAAACCAAACTTTATCCCACTTAATAGCTGCCAAGAATCCTAAAATAGCACAGGAGTGGCGTTTGCATGAGTCAACGCTCCCCTGCCCCGCGCGTTTTTTCCGCGGGGGAATCGGCTCCGTGTTAAATCGCTGCCACCGGCACCCCCCGGTCCCCGCGGGGACGTTTCCCACTTGCCAAGGGCTTTGCTTGCCCCCCGCGCCCGCAGGAAAGCCCCGGCGGGAGCTCCTCACCCCCTGCAAACCCAACCCCTGCTGCTGAGCGCGGTTACGCGAAGGCAGGGAACTGGTTTTGTTCACCTTGGGAGTTCCAGTCATCGTTCCTACAGGTAGGTCATTCGGGGACAGGATGTGAGTTTACATTAATTTCCTTTAATTTTGTCTCCTACAAAGCACCGAGCGGGGAGAGCGCTTAGAAATAAAAGGGGAAGGGGCCTTGAAGTGGGGCCCTGAGTCTGACAGTCATTGCAGCATAGATAAATGAAACCATGACATTTATTTGAAAGCAAATTTTAAAATATATATAATGGTCAGGAACACAGGAATCTCGTCTTCAAGGACTCTGGCAA